CTAAAGATATCTCCTTCATTAACTTTCCCGCTCCCATTCCTTTAAGAGGAAACACCCAAAGCATTTCCTCTCCGCTGTTTCCTGTGACTCTAACTCTCAGCTGCAGCATTCACATCATCAGCATCCTCTGGCCATATATTGTTAATCGATTATTAATGACTTTGGCGCAATTAAGTAACAAACAAAGCAAAAATCGCTTCATCGGGGCAGCGACAGCAACTACAACATGCCATTACCCATTAACAACCAGCTCCAACTTGGCCAAGAAACGCGGAGAAGGAGGCGGATCCCTGGTCACAACCGATGGTAAAAGTTGCAACTTGCCAGAGCAAAGGCAGCAAGTGCAGCGAATGCAGCCTGCAAGGCAGAAATCTTATGAAAATCAACATGCAAAACCAAGAAGAAAAAAACAACTTACGCCTTAAAATGTGAAAATGCGAATGACCCGAATTCACAGATACAGACACACACACACAGAGGCAGGGGTGTATGGGAACACACCAAAGCTATTTATGTATGGAGAAGGAAAATGCGATCTATCGGTATTTGTTTATCGAATCGAATCGAATTTCTTAAAATATTTGAAAATATGGTTTTTAATATCGATATATTATATCTACCTTTATACTATTTTTGAAATAAATATTTTTAAAAAAGATAATAGCACACAGAGCTCATGAAATACATGTACATTAGTCTAAAATTTGACTTTAAATATTAAAAAATTATACAAATATCACGTTTATTAATATAAATTAATCCGATATTGACATATCGATATTTGTACCATTCCCACTACAGACAGACACACACTTTCCAGCACACAGAGCCACTGAAATTGATAGCACACAAGGCGCATGCGCAACACGCAACACGCCAAAAAGCCTTAAAAGGCTGAAATAACAGCAACAACCACACACAACAAGTTCGATGACGACCGGCGACGATTTCCTTTTCTGCGCTTTCAGTTGTTGGGTTTTTATATTTTTTATTTTTAAGCTGCAAGCAAACTAGTTTTACGTACAGTTGGTAGAGTACCCATTAAATATATATGAATTAGGGGTATACTGAGTTAATAGGTACTAAAGAGTACAACAAGTTTTAAGAAACTGTAAAGGTTTTAGTTTAAGTAAGTCGTCAAATATATTTCAGTATTTTCCTTAACTATTTAATTTTCCAAAAATGTAAAACCTATTAAATTTTAATAATTTAATCATGTACAGGATACCAACGATTCGTTTATTAATTACCATTGGCAACATTTTTTACTTGACTTTTGTTTTTCGTTTTTATTTTTGGCGACAACGATGCCGCCATCGCACTTGCAACTCTTGCCTTAATTGGCCAGGCTGTCAGGCCGGGCCTCCTTCGTTTTGGCATAGGCAATTTTCATTTATTTATGCAAAGCATTTGCAAATATTTATTGAGCATTTTTCACTCGGTCTCTCTCACGTTGCATTTAACACATTTCCCCAATTTTCGAGAGACGTCTGAATCCCTGTGTGTGTGCGCTCCAATGAAAATGAAAAGTTCACGTTTTTTTTTTTGTGGAGGAAAACTCGTTTTTCGTTATGCATATAATGTTGACAAGCCTCAGATTTTTGTTTGCCTATTTTTCCTCTCTTTGTTTTTTTTTCTATTTTTTTTCCATGCCTGAATGGTCTAGACCCAGACTCTCATATGGGAAGCTCAATGAAGCGCGTAAAATGTGCCGCCGATGTGGGTTAGGAATATGGAAAGAGTTCTGGCGATTAATGACCCTCTCTCGCACATGAGGGGAATTTCCCATCTGGGTTGAGTAATGTATGGTCAGATCAATTAACTTTTTACGAGCTGCAAAAATTAATTAGCAACGGAAAATAATGAAATCTCCCAAGGCGTTGCCTCTAAATTAAAACTTTTATCACCTTCCCCGCCATCTGCAGCAGCAGCAGCAGCATAATAATATTTGCCACTCCCCTACACATTCTTGTGGATTTTCACCGCCAATTATCCCCAGAACCCACGGACGGGTCGTAAACACTCAACTACAAGTTGCATTTTAATTAGTTATCGCAGTGAAAATAAAAATTAGAAACGGACAAGTCCATGGCCACTCCCCCGGCTGCATATTCTGGCTGCTGGCAATAAAACGCATTGAGATTGACGCAATCGCATTCCGGGAATTACACATACACATGCTTCTCGGGATCTTGGATCTTGGATCTTGGTCGTATGCCATATATAAAATGCCGGCGTCGAATGCCACGCCAATTGTGCTAATAAATGAGCCACTTGCTGCGGGGCCAACAGGTGTTCCACGTCTTTGTTTTCCCCTGAATCTTGGTTCTATTCAGCCCTACAAAAGGCACACAGAAAAGCCAAGACAAGCCAAGCCAAGCCGCCTTGAAAGGAAAAGAAGCAACTGCCAGACTCAGACCCGAAAGCCATAAAAGCCAAACGTGTTCTTGGGGTTTTGTGGCAGAACTGACAGGGGCAGGGGCAGGGTATCAGCCGGCACCTTCAATGGCTTATAGCCATATAGTACCATCATTCCCCTCACCAGTTTTGGTCAGGTCTTCCAGCGCTCTTCCACTTTGGTTTTCATTGCCATAAATGGCATAATAATTTGGCTTTTGTCTATTTCGCCGCCACCGCTAAGATTTCAAGATCTTGTGGAATTATTTCGCACTTTTGGTTCATTATTGGCTCAAATAATTTCTTTATAACCCGATCATCAATCAAAGTGTTTCCGTCTTGAGGCGTTAAAATCGGAAGAGCCTCGAGCTAGATTTTGAAGTCTCTTTCTTTTCCAGCTCATTAATCATGATCTAGAGTTAAGGGTCATTTAAAAGCGAGCATGGGTTGATGGGTTGGGGCTTCAAAAAATTATAAATTGTACAGTTAGGTCTTGTATTATAATGAAATAATAAGGGTTTTCTCTTGATCTTTTTCTAAAATCTTGTTTGAATAAAAATGAAGCCTATAGAATAAGAAATTTATCTATTAGGAAGGGCTCATAAGATATACTTAGATATATTAGAAGGAAAAGATTTTGTTTTAATATTTCCATCCATCCTTTTTTTAAAGGTTAAATATGTTCAAGACTTTTAACTGCTGACACAAGTAAATTGCCTGGACTTCCAGGACTTCCTCTTTTGCCTTGTCTAAATATTTTGCTATTTCTTTCGTTTTTTTTTTTTTTTTGCATTTGCGAAATTCAATCCCACTGCTGCAACCCCATTTGTTCAGCTCTGTCAAAGAGGGTTAATTCATTAGCCACTGAGGGTTGAATTTCAAGTTGTTCAAATGTTTGCTAAAGGATTTCCCCTCTTTAATTTCGAAGCTTCTTCCTTACAAATTTATACACGTTGCTGGACATTAGTTTAACAAATTCAAGAGCTGCTTGAACTGATCGTCCGCGTCTAAAGGGGTCTGCGTGGGCACTTCGGTGGATGGCGCCTCTGTGGTCGTTGTCGTGGTGGAAGTGGTCGTCGTTGTCGTGGATGTCGAGGATGTGGTCGTAGGCATGGGCTTTGGCTTGGCACGGCCATCCAGGCAGGCCTGCAGATGGTTATAGTTTTTGGCAGTGGATTCCACGTAGCTACGTTCTGCCTTGTGGATGCACTGCTCGTGCTGGAGATCCACCACGCGGTAGCGCTCCTGCAGCATCCTTCCGGATTCGGAGGCATTGCCAGAGATGCTGTAGGTGGAAACGGTGTTGTTGGAGCCCTAGAATGTAAGGGAATTATTATTAGTCATTCTATTTTTCGATTTAGAGAGAATTATAAGCCTCACTCACCACAGTGGCATGACAGTTGAAAGAGTCCAGGGTGTTGTTGATGGAATTACATTCCCTTAGCTCCTCGCAGACCCTCTCAGAGGAAAGCTTGATAGTTCTGCGGGTGGCCAGGAAGTCACTGTCGATGCCCTTCCTTGCATTCTGCACTCTCTTGGAGCAGTTGCTGTAATCGCCGCTGTATAACTCCGCAATCAGGTTAGACTCGCCGATATAGCCACCGAAGCAGGCCACCGAGGCCATGGGATCGCGACGCGTTACCCGAGAGTTGAGGAACAACTGGGTGAGCCCATCCTGTGTGGGCAGACCCACATAAGGAGGCAGTGGCCTGCTGACGCTATCGACAGGAACCACCAAACCGATTAATCCAAACAGGGCTAGGATTTTCACCACACTTGAGCACATTTCAGAGCACATTATTGAAGATTCTTGAGGTTCTCACCGGAGACAGAAGCACTTTTGACGCATTCCGTCCGTCGGATAGCTCTTTTATATGCAAACCCCAGATGCGGCTGACAGGCTGGCGGAATGATAGATAAGCCACAGCCCCTGTTATGTGATTTCCTTTCGCGATGCGATGCTCTTATCTGTTTTTGCAAAACTTTTCTATTGCCTTGGCGCATTATCTTTGGGCCAATGATAAACCATAGATAAACAGGCGACGCTGGGCATGATTGAATTGGGATCGCCTGGGATTTACTGTTTCTGAGAAATGCGTTCTCCATTTTTTTACGAGCGAGCGAGTATGAGTCCCCCACAATGCACATTGCTTATTTCCTATGACGGTGGTAAAAGTGTCCAAATATCCGCCGGATAGCAGGAGATTTCCACGGTGTGAATGCTTTCTAAGTAGTCGGCTAATATTTGCCCAAGATAAATAGAGTAATTTACGTTGATAAACTCGGGATTCTTTATGGCCCGCCACGCTCATCCGCTGTTCAAATACACTTTGTTTGGGGGCCTAATTTTATAATCACCGCAAATATTGGGACAATCTTTGTGCTTAAGCTGGGTGAGTCGCATTGCGCTCAAAGGGGCTGTAATGGAAGGATGATGAGTAACGAGTTTATTTATAGGATGCCTAACAGGGTTTTAGCTTTGGTTAAATACAAAAAACATCGTAAAAATAATTGCTAGGGAAGTTGTATAAATAAATCAACCAGAATAAACCTTAAACTTCGATAAATTCATCGAATTATATGGTTTTTCTTTATCAATCATGTAATTTTTATAAAAAATATTTTTATTTGAATCTCCAATTCGATTATTTAAGTACTTAACTAACAAACAATAATATTAACAATTTTATATCACGAGTATCCCAGTTACCTACCGAAACCCTAACAAAAACAACTGAGTATGTGGGTTTACCCTATTCAAGATTTCTAGGTCTCAAACCCACATTAATGCCTGTGCTCGAACGCAGTATGAAGTTCATCATGGGCTTTAGCTCTTCACCAAGTGGAAGTAATTCGTAGTGTCTTAAAACCTTGCTAATCAGAGATTTCATTTCCAAAACGGCAAACTTCTGGCCAATACAGTTTTTGGGTCCGGCACTAAAAGGCACATAGGCAAAGGTCGCATGAGATTCCTCCTCGCTGTCCAGAAAGCGTTCGGGCTTGAAGGTGAGTGGGTCCGGAAAATATTCAGGATCCCGATGAGCATAGAGGGGAACCAAATAAATGCTTGTGTTGGCAGGAATGACCTTCTCTCCGATGACCAGGTCCATGGTGGTGTATCTTCCAATTGCGGGAACTGGCGGATACATACGCATGGTCTCCTTGATCACGCAGTCCAGGTACTTAAGTTCCGACATCTTTGATTGAGTGACTGGAGTGGAGGGATCTCGTCCTAGGACAGCTACTAGCTCCTCGTATATGCGCTGCTGAATCCTGGAATTCCGGGCAATGGCGTATAAGGCGTGAGAAACACCACTGCTGGTGGTGTCATCGCCCTCGAACATGAAGGTGTCCACCTCCTCGCGGATGTCCGCATCGCTGAGGGGTTCATTGTTAATGGTCGCCTGCAGCAGGATGTCCAGCAGAGCCATCTGGGATTTAGTGCCGATCTCGGCATCACCTAGAGCTGTGAGCAGAGAAAGATAGAGTGAGTCAATAGCTTCCTCTGTGAATGATTCAGTGCACCCACCCAGCGGCCGGTAGCTGCCGTCGGCCTTTGCCTGCTCCACCGTTGCCCGCCGCTCGCGAATGACCTTGTCGGTGAATTCGTGCATGACGCGGATATCGCTCACCAGCTGCCGGTGGAGCAGGGGCGCCAACAGGGGAAAGAGCCAGTCGTAGCGCTGCGAGACTTTGAACATGCGATCCGGCTGGATGTAGACCACACTGAAGAACCGGGAGAGAGAGAACAGGGAAAGTGTTAGACAGAATTGAATACTCATATATTGGTGGGGTGAACTCACTTTTTGAGCGCCTTGATGTACGGAAAATCGGGGTCGTTCTGGGCATTCACCTGGACACCCATGGCGGCCTCTGCAAAAAGAGTTTCATAAATCAATAAACGGGCATAATAGATGGCACGGAGACCTACTGTTGGTTAGGAAAATATGATTTATGCAAAAAAAAGCTACATTATGTTGTGTATTTCTTGTTTCAATATCGATTTAGTATTTTTGTAGGAGAAACTATATATGGTCACAGGGATTGACCTAAGAGCACAGATTAAACTCAGCTATTATAAACGTTCCAAAATAATAATGTTTAAACTAAGTAAAGTTAGGTAATAAACAAGAATCGCAATTTGATGTTATGTTCCTCACTTAAAGAGTCTGTAACCTAGGCGTACATATAATATTTAATACAGAAATTGCTAGGTTTTGTAATAAAAGTAAATGTATATATTAAAATTAACGATTAACCTGACTAATTAAGTCAACCATCACGTTTTTAAGCGTTGAACAATCTTGTTTCAACGAGTTTTACTATGTTATATACATTTTGCTAAGGGTAAACAAATTAAAAAACCGCTTACAGAGCTTTTTTTGTAATTGCATCTATAAATGTTTCAAGTTGACTTAACACCGCAATGACACTCACCTGTGATCACATCCAATGCTGCCAAAGAAACGTACTGGAGTATATCCACCGTTGTCTTGCCATCGGCCACCTTTCTCAGTTTCTCCACCAAAACGCCACTGTTTCTGTCCATGATCTCCATATAGTGTTCCAGGACTTTGAAGTGGAAGGCATTGGTGAAGACTTTTCTCCTGGCATGCCATTTCCTGCCTGTGCTGACTAAAAGTCCATCATTGAGGAAGGGTCGCAAAAAACGATAGAGCTGACCCTTCTCCAGGAGCGTGGTGCTGCTCAGGATGTGCTCAAAGTCCTTGAAATCCTTTGTGTACAATATGCATTCATCGAGGACCCAAAAGTAAAAGTTCTTGCCATATTTCTCGAACATTTCGCCCACATATGGGATGATGTCTGGAAAGGGATTTTGATTCAGTCTCTAATGAGATTTATAGAGAAAGTTTAAGGGACATACTCTCTGCCCCCAGGGACAAGGCCTGGATACCACATCCCAGGATAGGAAGTGACAGGGGTCCTTTGATCTTTGACTTCTCTAAGGTTGTGACTCGATGGCGCTTTCGTACAAAGTCCCAGGCGAGGAGCAAGATCAGGGCGCCTGTAATCAGGGTCAGCCACATTGCAGCTACTGTAATTGCTCTTGCTGGTGTTGTTATTTGTGACCTCCCGGCGGAGATTAAGGCTAGAGACCAGCCAGAGATCGGTTCAGAGTTGGATGATTATTTAGTTTTACTTTCTGCGTTGTTGACGCCGCCGCTTTTGTCGCTCAACTGTTGATAGCCGACCGCTTGACCAGCCAAGCGCAATTTGGGTTTTAAAAACTACACTCTGTATACTATATATCAGCTATATAGAATACGGGATTCTCTCGCTCTCAGCCGATCCGCTCTGGAAACTGGTTTTAAGCCGCCGCCTATGTTGGAACATATATATATATATGAGTCGGGTTTTGAATGTTTTGAGTGTTGCAACATTCGCGGCATGCGATTCGCATTCAGAGCGTTATGCGGCGATTGCGGGACTGACCATGCCTAAAAAGAGCAAGTGTTGATATTGAATTACCATATAAAAATAATATATACAGTGGACGATCGAAAGAGTATACATTGGTAAGGGTATTTTGAATATTTGTTGATTTAATCAAGCTAGAACAATGGACATGAAATAAAATTAAATGCACATAGTAGTTAGAGCTTCGAAATTTAAATAAATAATTAATTATATATTCGAGATAATCGACTGCTGATAGCACTCAGGGTCTATATATATTCAATCGTGAAATACGAAGACCAATCAACATGTAAAACATACATATGTAAATTTGTTTAACTATTTTAGTTATAAATTCCTAAAATTCTAAATTTCGTAATAATAATAAACTAAAAGTATATTATTTGCAACATTTAAAATTCTATTAAAGTTAGTCAAAAATTAAACAAGGGTTTGTTCATTTGAATACCTACTGTAATTACATAAAGTCATACACATATATAAGTGATTAGAATGCCACTAAGGTTTAAATTGGTTTGCCTGCGCATTAATTATCTCTAGTATTTAGCTATTTAATCGAGGGCAGCTATTAGTTTTGCGATCCATCGATTAATCCGAACAACGCTAGGATTTTCACCGGCGAGCACAATGTCTTAGAGATTTTTGAGATTAAATGGGACAATCTTTGTGCTTAAGCTTGATTTAAAGGGTTGTAATGAAATTATGATGAGTAACGTGTTTATTATGGGATGCCAAACTGGTTTTTAAATACAAAAAACACGAATCATATGGTTTTGATAAAGATCAATCCTTCTAATGTTAAAAAAAAGCCTTTATTTGAATTTCCAATTACTGAACCAACAAATAATCTTAAAAACTCTATATCACGAGTATCATATTTTCCATTAACCGTAACCTTTATAAAACGAGCCCTATTAAAGCTTTCTAGGCCTCAAGCCCACATTAATGCCCGTGGACGAACGCAGAATGAAGTTCATCATGGGCCTGAGCTCCTTTCCCAGTGGAAGTAATTCGTAGTATCTTAAAACCTTGCTGATCAGACATTTCATTTCCAAAGTGCCAAACTTCTGGCCAATACAGTTTCTGGGTCCGGCACTAAAAGGTGCATAGGCGAAGGTCGCATGAGATTCCGCCTCGCCTTCCAGAAAGCGCTCGGGCTTAAAGGTGAGTGGGTCTGGGAAATATTCTGGATCTCGATGCGTAGCGTATGGTACTAGGTAAATGCTTGTGTTGGCAGGAATGACCTTTTCTCCAAGCACTAGGTCCTTGGTGGTGTATCTTCCAACTGTGGGCACTATCGTATGCAGGCGCAAGGTCTCCTTAATCACGCAGTCCAGGTACTTCAGCTCCGACAGCTGCGATTGGGTGACTGGAGTGGAGGGATCTTGACCTAGGACCTCTACTATTTCCTCAAATAAGCGCTGCTGAATCCTGGAATTTCGGGCGATAGCGTACAGGGCGTGGGAAGTACCACTGCCAGTGGTGTCATTGCCTGCGAACATGAAGTTGTCCACCTCCTCGCGGATGTCCGCATCGCTGAGGGGTTCATTGTTAATGGTCGCCTGCAGCAGAATGTCTAGCAGAACCAACTTCGACTTGCTGCCAGTCTCGGCATCACCTAGAGCTGTGAGCAGAGAAAGATAGAGTGAGTCGATAGCTTCCTCTAATTCAGTGATTCAGTGCACCCACCCAGCGGCCGGTAGCTGCCGTCGGCCTTAGCCCGCTCTACAGTTGTTCGCCGCTCGTGAATGACCTTGTCGGTGAAGTCGTTCATGACGCGGATATCGCTCACCAGCTGCCGGTGGAGTCGTGGCGCCAACAGGCTGAAAAGCCAGTCGTAGCGCTGCGAAAATTTCAACATGCGACCAGGCTGGATGTAGACCACTCTAAAGGAACCGGGGATGTAAGAACAGGAAAAATGTTGAACGCAAATGTATACTCAAATATTAGTGGGCAAACTTACCTCTCAAGCGCCTTGATGTACGGAAAATCGGGGTCGTTCTGGGCATTCACCTGGACACCCATGGCGGCCTCTGCAAAAAGAGTTTTATAAATCAATAAGCGGCTATAATATGTGGCACGGAGACCTACAGTTAGTTAGGGAAAAATTATTCATGCAAACAAAATCAAATTTTTTGTCCTTGTTGTTTCTGTATCGACACCCTAGCCACACTCACCTGTGATCACATCCAACGTTGCCAAAGAAACGTACTGGAGTATATCCACCGGTGTTTTGCCATCGGCCACCTTTCTCAGCTTCTCCACCAAAACGCCACTGTTCCTGTCCATAATCTCCATATAGTGTTCCAGGACCTTGAAGTGAAAGGCATTGGTGAAGACCTTTCTCCTGGCATGCCATTTCTTGCCCTTGCTGACTAATATTCCATCGTTGAGGAAGGGTCGCATAAAGCGATAGATTTGACCCTTCTCCAGGAGCGTGGTGCTGCTTAGGATGTTCTCGTAATCCTTAACATCCATGGTATAATATATGCATTCATCGAGTACCCAAAGCCGAAAGCTCTTTCCATATTTATTGAACATTCCTGCCATATATGGCATGATGTCTGAAAAGGAATTTAGTTAGTTTACAATCATATAGGAAGTTTAGGGACATACTCTCTGCTCCCAGGGACAAGGCCTGGATACCACATCCTAGGATAGGAACTGACAGGGGTCCCGTGATCTTGAATTTCTTAAAGGTTGTGACGCGATGGCGTTTTCGTACAAAGTCCCAGGCGAGGAGCAGGACCAGAACGCCTGTAATAAAGGTCAGCCACATTGCAGCTCCTTTAATTGCTCTTCCTGGTGTTGTTATTGGTGAGTTCGCGGCGGAGATTAAAGCTCCAGAGATCGGTTCAGAGTTATATGATTATATACGCACTTTTCGCGTTGTTGACTCCGCCGCTTTTGTGGCTCAACTGTCGGTAGTGGACCAGAGCCTAGATATTTAAACTAAAATGTAATACTATATTCAAGATAACCGAGTGCTGATAGCATTCACAATTAATGTAATAACCACAATAAATATTCAATATAAAGTTTTAAGCAAAAAGACACCGTACAGCATTAAACAAAAATAATAATTTATTCAAATGGTTAGAACTTTAAAGATCTACGCCAAGTCTTGAACTATTCTGCAATAATAATAAAAACAAAGAACACAACGTATCAAAAAATATAGAAAGAGCATACCTTGGGAGTTTATTCATTCAAATACCTACTGTAATTATATAAAATGAAAAGAATAAGTTTGCTATTTAATTGAGGGCAGCTATTAACATTGCGATCAATATCTTGTAATCATGTCTTAACAATTAAAAGTTAAATTTATGCACAGCATCAACCCCTCAGAACTAGCGAATCCCTTAGATCGGCTTCATGGAGGGCACCCAGGAAACGGTAGCCTCTTCCAGTGAGCAGAGCAAGACACTTGACAAGCCACCAGTTCAGGCCTGGCTCCTCTCTTCCTCCCCAATTTCCCGCCAAAGAAAACAGCTGTGACAATCGGAGCGAGGCGACAAGACACGAGACCTCGACACTACACTCAAAAATAAATATTAAATATAAATAGAAGAATTATAAAACGATGTTACAGTAGTCTTTTTTATGTTGGTAGATCTTTTTATGAATTTAAGACTTTTTTTTTAGAATTTTTATTTCATAAGCTAAATGCTTGCAAAGTATTAAAAAAAATCGTACACCCAAATTATTTGTTATTTATTTTTAAAAGCAAATGTTCTTGTTAAATGTCTTCTGGAATTCTACGTTCCACCTAGTTCGCTTTTTCCAGTGTAGTAGGCCCCGCAGTTGAATAAACTGCGATTGCTCGTAGTTCTGGCTGCCGTTGTTCCCGGTTAACTCGTTGAACTTGACGGCAGAGTTCATTGGAGTTGAAGTAGGAGACCAGACCAGACCAAAGCGAAAGACTCACCGGCGGAGACAGTCGCAGCGCGGCAAGTACATCCACTTGGCGGTCAATTAAGGCACTCGGATGACATCTGCACATGTTGTTCCATTGTTTGGCGTTCTGAGGGCCTGGCCTGGCCAGAACGGAACAATCAAGAGCAGAGCAGAAAGCCAAAACAAGTTATCAAAACGTCGAAACCCCGAAAGAAGTTTACCTCCGATGACGCTGTTCCTCTGACGCCAGCAGAACGGTAAATGGGAGCGTCACATCGTTTGTATATATATATATATATTTTTATATATCTTTCCGTACGCGATATCTGGTATAAGCAGAAAGAAAAGCAAACGCTGTTTAAATTGTAGACCATCTTGAAAATCGTTGACTCACGTTATTCCCAGGGAAACTGAAGCAGAAAGCGGAAGAATTTCACGCCAAAGTAATGGTATAGGTAATTATGCGGGTCCCATAGAGTTGGGGGAAAAGCAAAAAGGAAAACTCAATCAATAAGTGCACACGCCCATCGGGGGAAAACAGGGGAATAGCCGTGACAGGCACGTAGGCACGACCGAAAATGCAACAACCCCGAAATAATATTGACTCCCCTTTAGGCACACAAAGAAAAATAATCTCAAATTAACTGTAAACTCTAGCCAATAAAATGTAATTATTTTTTGGCACTTAATACTAATACTAATAACATTCTGAGAGCAAATTTTTAAACAACAATTTTCAACCTTAAAGTTCATTATTTCTCTTTAAATTCTTTGTGTAGATTTTAGATGAATTGATGTCTGGTTCGATCTTATTTTGGGTTTGGGGCTTCTTTGTTTGCTTTTGTCCCAAAAACGCATGTTTCCTCCTTCCGCTGCAGTCGTCGCCACATGGCCTTTCCGTCGAGTCACTCAACTGGCTCTCAACAGCCAAAATCCACCCAAGAACCAGCCACCCACACACAACCCCTAGGATGTAACAGCCGCTCTTCTCTAACCCATCGGAACACCGAACAAAGAGGAGAGTTTGTTTTGACGCATTTCCATTCGGCTTTTTCGGGGTTACCCCGGCAACCGGCAAACAGAAAGGAAACGAAAACATGTCTGGGGATCCCTGAGTGGAGTGGGAGTGGGTCCATCTGTACCAAGGAGAGGGGCTACTCGCTGGAGGGTTGTTGCCGACGACAGCACGTGTCTGGGATACTGCGCCTGCTCGTGGAATAACATAAAACAGCTGACCGACGAAAGGTTTAGCAACTAAAGTTGCCAAAGCGTAGATGTTGCTGAGGCCTTAACCCAAGAAGAGAATGTGGTTCAAAATTAGATTTCCCTTTTAAAAAATATTTTATAAATTTAAATATTTAAAGATTAAAAAGAATAGAGCTAGGAAAATTTAAGAAACAATTTTCGCTTAGATTTTGCCATTTCACACCTTCACCCAAAAGGTTAAACATTACAAAATTTCGATTTCACAAAAGAGCAGCCACCCAAAAAAAAAGACGCGACACCTTGAACTTGAGGTGAAATTTTGGCTCTTAACCCAGAGCCACAATTAAGCAATATTTTTTGCTTGGCAAAACTCAAGACAAAGCAAAGGCCCCCGAGTTGGCAACTATTTTTAAATCTTTCGCGGGGTCGGCCTAATGAAATGTCGAATGGCCGGACAAAAGAGCAAAACAGCAAAATGGCAAAACTAAAAAGCGAAAAAGCGAGTTGCAAAGAGACCATAGTGGAATCAGTCAGGCTGTAAGCCCATGTTGACGTTGTAATTTTGCATCATTACCGCCAAGTAAATTGCGGCGTGGGAAAGTTAAACCAAAGCGAACTTGAATCTTGGATCTATGGGATCTCTTGGGATCTCTCGGGATCTCTAGGGGTCTCTGCTCTTTGTCTGATGAAAGCTTCATTACCTTTCATTGCTCTCGTCAGCTTGTGCCTAGCGCCTTCGTGGGTAATTGCCACTCTTTTGGATCCCGAAAAAATCGGACCAACTACAAAGTCAGCGAATTCGATTCGAAGTCTGGCATAATTAGTTGCATAAGTTGATTTCTGCTTACCTGGTAATTTATATGACGCGAAACATTACCTGCAAAATCACCTGAGATTCATGTGTGGTTGCACTGGGAGAAATAGAAGGGTTGCTTTGGGTTTTAGTAGATTAAATAATTATTTAAATAAATAATTATAAAACAGAAAAATAAATGTATCACTTTTATATACACAAACTCTCTTTAAAAATTTCCTAAAATGAATTCAAAATAATATTGAATTATTTTTCTGAATTTATCCAATTTCATATACACTCTACTTAAAATCAAAATAATTTAGAATTAACTTATACTAAAGGAATTCGCATATAAAACAATTTGAGCTAACATGAATTCACTTAAAATGAACTCTACACAAAATGAATTCACGTTAAAATGAAGATGAAAGAAAATGAATTCAGGAATTTATTCATATTACTTCTATGGCACCTAAAAATATCATTTTAAAAATCTTTAAAAACAATTAAAAATTTATAAAAACAAATATATATTTTCCCAAGTGCCGCCACACGATCCGTCTTGATTTTTATTGCGGTTTAGCCATCAAGTCTGATGCTTCTGTTGGTTATATATCATGTTTTAGTATTATTAGCTGCGAGATATTATTATTTTTACTTATTTCTGCCTCAACTGCGGCTTTAACCTTGTTGTTGAAAACCGCTCAAACCGTTGCCGCTGCCAGGGCCGTTGATTTATTATTGCTTTTATATCTCGCACTGAGCACTTGACATAGAGTCTGTATTCCGATGCCAATGACAGAGACCTTTCTGCGGGAGATCGAGAGAGTGCAGCAGGTAGTAGTAGTCTCTGCATAATATATTTAAATATCTCCATGAGTGTTCTTCACATTGCTGCTCATAATTTTGCATAAATTTTCAACACCTTGGATTGAATCTTTGCATTTACAACTCCATTAGAGTCTGCAGAGTGGAGATGCCGTGTGAGGGGCTCGTAAAGTCAAGGCTTGATGGCGTGCAATTATTTATGCCGCGCCAAATAGTTTATAAAACAATTCATTTTGTTATATCATTAAGGGGCCCCTTAACCCGCACTCTCTTAGTCTGTTATAAGAGAGACTGCCTGCCGCATTGCCAAAGTGATCGCGTGATCTTGGTTCACATTCACTTTTCGCAAAAAACAAAAAAAAACCTAATAAAAAAAGAAAGAAAAGAAATTTTAATTACCTCCCAGCGTAATTCAATTACAAAATGTGAGCGAATGATCAACGATCCTTGGGATGGCTTCTAATTATATACAAAAGGAACGTCTCAATTTCGTGAAAACTGATTCGCTGTGAGGCTTAAATTTGAACAGTTTAGCTTTAGCTTTTCCGCATTTATGGGTGCGTCTGTGTTGACCGCACCCAGGAGTTTAGCAATCAAACTAATTGCTTGCTAAACGCTTTCCAAAGGGCAATTACTGCATTAAGAAACTATAGATATCCAGGCAAAAATAAAGGAAAAAAGCCCAGGAGGAGCCATTCGCGTGTCTGCACTTTGACCTATGACTCCAGCCAGAGATAGCCCCGCTGCTCACCCCAACATTCGTCTGCATTTTAGCCATTATTCCTCCATTATTTCATTATTCCATCGACCAGGCTCTTACTTTGATTTCACGATTCAGCAGTTGTGGCTAAACTCTGAACTTTTAGCAATGGCATTTTCCATGTGGTTATGCATGGTAATTGAATTCCAGTTTGAGTTTTGCCTGGAGTTTTTTAAAGAGGATTTTTAGCTGAGGCTTAAGATTAGATAAGATAGTAGAGACCTTAAGAAATAGTAAGAAAATGTTGTTAATGTTCCCTAAAATCAACTTGATAAATAAATATCCAATATTCAAATAATTCCTTCTTATCTGTCGTTGATACAGTTTGATTCCCACTCAATTTTCCCTGAACTCTGTTTCAGTATCTTGATAATATTTTCCATTTCTTGTCTTGATTTCAACCAGTGGGTGACAAGGTGTCTCAGGTAGACCTGTTCCGAAAACCCAGCACCTGGTCATCGCTTGGCCTGTCTTTCGGCTTGCTTCTGTCACAAATTTTCCAAATTAATATGCAATTTAGCTGTCAGCGCGGCTCTCTGTTTGTTTACCTGCTTTTTCGATGGGCACCTGAAGGAGAATCTGAGATATGTATCTTGGACCTAGCCCAGGTTGTGCTCGCTTTTGCAGTGGGCTCACCTTAGCGCGTCGCAGCAGAGCTCAGCTCAGCTCGTTCGCCATTCGTCTCTCGGAGTTCGTCGCGTGCAGTCTGCTTTTCAAGTGAATTCGCTTTTCCAGCGACTCCAAAAACAGAAACCAAAAACAAAAAGACACGTGCAGTGATTAAAAAAAAGTGAGTGAGCTTCAAGTGCTGACAATCTGTCTGTTATTTTGTGGGATTAATTTTCAAAGAGTTTATTTAAATTATTTAATTTAAATACAACAAAACATATTGATGTTTAAATATTCTTTTGGCACAATGTCATAACATCATATCTTCTCTTTCCTTTAAATATTTTCTTAAATATTTATTTGGCAGCTCTGTTGCACTTCGTTTTCCATTGCATTGCTTTGCCAAATCCAAACAAGTTTTCATTCTTAGCGGTTCGTTTTTTTTAATGCCGCCTGTCGTTCCGAATAATCCGTGACATATATAAATGCCGGGCCCATTTCGTTGGGGGTTTTGTTTTTCTTCTTTTTTCGCCGGACTCTCTTTTGACTCACGCTGCGAGATAAAGCTCAGGGGAACAGAATCCCAAGTCGTATCCAGAATTCAGAGCTCACCATGTACCGAAACATGTCCGGTGACTAATAAGTGTCTGTGTCCGAGTTTTGACTTTTGTGAAAAATCATCGAGTCGTTCTTAACGGTTCTGCTTACAAAAAGAAATATACAAAAAATAAGAGACAACGCCTGCGAGGCAATTTCAGTTGGCCAGAGATACACAGATAGAATCTGGAATCTCGTTTTGCTAAAACAAAGACCAGCTTTTAATCAATGGAAGTGCTGAGTGGAGTATAGCGTTATGCAATAGATCAAAGATTCCAGTTGAATTCTATGCCATTTTTAACTAGCAAAACATTTGTTAAATATTTAAAAAATATGTTGTGGATCTAGAAGTAAATATTATCAAAATTCTGAATCTTTGCAAGGGGCTTTGTGACAATTTCTTTACTAAATTAATGAATCTAAATTATATTAAAAATATAAAAGCAATTAATGAAGATTTCCTTCAAAATTCTATTTCAAATAACTCGGAATATCTAACATATTTCAAATGTCAGTGTGTTGCCTTAATACTTTCAAGGATAATCCCCCGAGCCATCAACTTGTCTCATTAGCCGCCCGCGGTTCGTTTACGTTAACATCTGTCTGACGAGGCAATAAAAATGGGCTTCAGCTTCATAAGAAATAACAATAACCGATCCAATCCAATGCAATCCGGCGACCATTCGCAGAAAAAGAAAATTCCATGGCCATCTAGGAGGAAAATCGCAGCGTGCCCAGCGCTTAATAAATGGCCATGGATGGTCCCCGTTCCCTATTAAAGGAGAAAGTTGGCTTTGACTCGGGATCTGGCTCTGGCTCTTACTTGGGTTTTGGTTTGGCGGGAAAGAAGCAACAAAAAAATACGAAATCTCAGAAACAGAAATAAAAGGCAGCCTCCTCTTCGCCTGTCGATTCAACGATCGCCGCTTCCTGTGCATTCTATTCGAAGGGGGACGATGGCGAATAAACGAACAAATAAGGCAGTTCAGTTCGACTCGCTCATTAGTGGCTGGGAAAACGCCATGTCACGAGTTTCCTATTAATGGTGTGTGGAGGAAAATGGGAACGGATTGTGAAGCATCCATTGAGGAAAAACGCACGCTTTAAGCCATTCCCGCTTACCTCTATATGTGCAGTATCTTGCAGTTTGTGGTTAACAAAGCTCAAGTTTAGGCCACCCAAAGTACAATCTTACTTGCATTTCTTTTATATTTATAAATTGCTGTTTGTACATTTCAAATGCTAATTCTGTTTTAAATTTATTACCTCTTAATATATAACTTAATTGCCACACTCTTAAGATATTTTCAACAGCATTTAACGATCCCATTTGCATCTTTTTTCTTGCAGAAATCTCGTTGCTAAAAGCAAAAGTCACTCGGCCATCTCGGCACCCCTCGGTCTTGGCCCCCAGCTACCACCCCTTCCCCTCGGCGGCGGCTTTGTCAAATTGCGTCATGTAGCCAAGGAGGAGGAGGAGACACCCACAACTAGTAGCACATCAGCGAAAGAATCGCCAAAGAAAGATCTAGATCAGGAGCAGGGAGAAGCTTCGGGAGGAGATTCATCGCATCCAACGGCTCTGCCTGAGTTCCTCAAAGGCGTGCAAAGATCATCCACTGAGGTGAGTATATAATCTATATAAAAATGTGGAATTGATTTAAAATGGTATACAATATATTTGTATGATCAGTTCCCTTCTTCTTCTCTAATTGTACCTGACCCAGTGTCAATTAAATCGATTCACATGTGACTTTGTGCCACCCGTGCACACTCATCCATTATCCAATACTATAATCAATCCATCCTCCATCCATTTATCCAGGTCATGGGCCCCGATCAGCGCTCACTCTCGATCGCTAAGACCGGCTCCATTGCGGAGCGTTTGGCGGCGTTGCAGAAGAGCGGCGAGGACGACTGGAGGAAGCGCATCTCCAAGCGCGACGAAGTCGACGATGTGCGCCGCGAAAACTTCGTGAACGTGAGTACTCAGCACTTGTAAATATCGCGCATCTGAAAGATACTTGGGTACACTTTAAGAAACAAAAAGAAAAGAAAGATGAAAAATCATAATTTGGATACCTGAAATATTTCAATTTCTAACTTTTGAGACCTATTTTTAATAGTTTTAAAATCTATTATTTCTTCCGGTAATTTCAATTAAGTGAAGTTTATGCATTTTTTTTCATTGTGTATCCCCTGAATTCCGCTGTGGGTTAAGCAGCCACGCATGTGGCAGCTGTGGACCGCAACGGATCTCAATCGCTGGGATCTCGGATCTCAAATCCCGATCTCGATCTCGATCGCAATTGCGTGAAAATTGCTTCCTTATTGCTAATCGTTTTGTTTATTAACGTTGCGCTTTCCTCTGTTATTTGTGCAATGCCTTGCCCGTTGTTCGTGCAATGGCAACTGAGCGTTAAACCTGACGGCAATGACATAATAATGCGAAAAGTGCAAGTGATACCCAACCACGATCGTGGAGTAGGATGGACTTGGGTGTGGAGTTGTGGTGGACGAAGACATGGTTGTGTGACTTACATCTCTGCTGGGGCTAAGAAAGTGACATAACTGGAGTGATTCGCCAGATAAGATGTTGTGATGTTATTGTATTTTGTTTATGAATAATCAGAATATTCCTTAGTCACCAAGCTAAGGTACAAATAAAGTAGATCATGGTCTCTATAACAATTTACAGATAAAAAGATACTCCTTCAAAGGGTGTTTGTCATGATTGCAATATAAAGAAAATATCTGATAAACATATTTGCTTATGGTTCAAGACCAATATTATATTTGTACAGTATTTTTCAAGGCATTATTTGCTCACTCTTAAGAATTAAAGGGAATCAACCAACTTGGAAAATATTGTTAGGGAATAATATGCTAAAAGGCCCGGAATTCCCTAAAAATATATGAAATTTAGATTGTCAGAATATGTATGAAATTTTTTATATTATTATTTTTATTTCTATACATTTTGTTTAATTTTATTTCAATTTTTTTTATTTAATTAGTTTTTATTAGTTTACTTTACTCTACTTGGCAAATTTACATCTTCTTCAAGTACTTTACATGTATTTTACATACTTTTACCAAAAGTAAACGAAACTGCTGCATACTGTTAGGCGGCGCCTGGTATATAGTAGCGCCACCTAGCGAGTGCGCACACATTGAATCGCTTTCCCAACGAAATCGAACTTTTTGCACCTTTTTTCGCCAGTTTTTTACCTGGTTTTTGGGGAAGTGCAAGTTTGGCTCTGCAAATGTTCGTTTTCACTCAGCCAGCCGAAAGTTTCGACCGATTTTGTCGCATTATTTATGGGCATGGGCACTTGGCGAATCAAAATTGGAGACTGTCAATTAGCCGATCCGCTAGCTTTTGGCGACGCGACATGGGGTTTAGTGAACCCGTTCCCCTACCCCTGCTTTTCTGCCATTAAACGGTTACTTCTGGTCCATAATTATGCGGGTTTGGCGTTGGATACCGCCGCCCTTTCCTCGCGCCTTCTCCTCCCCAACTATATGTATATGCAATTGCCCGAGTAATCACGTTTAATTACTGGGGGACACCGCCGCCGCCATCATCTTATATAGGCGAGCATGAGCTTGGATGGGCTTAGTCATTCCATCTCATCATCTCCCGGGTAGTTTGAGGGAAATCGTGTAGGAACGATCTTGGTCTGACCCACACACACATACCAAACAAAGTTCAAATTGTTGCCCTTCTCTTCCAGAAAATGAGTTCCCAAATTGAAACCTCAAGTGTCGTTGCTTTTTCTCGGCTTCGTTGTTATTGTTTTTGTTCCTACAGCTGTTACCGTTTGGGTTATCGCTCTTGTTGTTATTATTGTCAGCGAATTACAAGATACTCGGAAGTTTGCTTGATGCACTGAGATATATAGTTGGGAATTATAAATAAAATAAAGTTATAATAAAAGGAACTTTGATTACAATCCCAAAATTGCTCAATAATATACATATATGATTTATAGGATCGGAAACGACACCTTTATAAATTAAAATCAAAATACCCTTCAAGAAGAAACGAAATATTTTATTTTATTAAATGGATATCCATAACATACCACAATTTTGATCAGTGTTCTTGACAAAACTACAGTGGAACAAGGTCAATGGGCAGACTGCGCGCACATCCATCATCTGGGAGTGATAGAGTTTCCTCCTCAAAGTTCTACCCTCATTTTCCGCCACACGACACTTGACGCCCATTATAGTGCAATTTATTAATAATTAAGATGAATTTCTGTCTTGCTGTGGCGTTCTTAGGGCTCCACCGCCTCTCCCACTTTTCTCTGCTTCGATGAATCTGCGTAGTCGCGGTCGGATTCATGCCCCGTTTAACAGACAAACGTCCCAGGTGGCGTATGCGCAATTAGTCTGGCCAACTCAGTCACCAGGTCCCAGAGCGACTGTCAAAACAGACATTGAGAAAGATCCCTTGTAATTTAGAACAATTTATCAGGCTACGATCTCAGAAAGTTAGAAAGCGCATAATAATGAAGCCAGCATCCAGGAGATTCGGTGCTCTAGCAGGGCAGCTATAAATATATATATAGACAGAGGCTCTCTTTTTCTTCCTGCTCCTGCCCTCACAGTTTCGAGGCGTCTGCCAACTTCCATTTTGCCATAATTTTCTAAACTTGCCTTGTGGGCTGTGGCTGCAGCAGTAACATCAGTAAAAACAGCAGCCACATTGAACTAGTCCTACCATACACTATGAAAAAGAATTAAATTCTGGTGTAATAGTGATATATAAATTATAATTATAAACATTAGAAATCTGTTATCTAAAAATAAATATTATTTAGGCAACGTATCCTGGAATTATTAGACACCCTTGGGCCAATTCTTATATAAAGATATCTTCTTGCCCTGAAAAAATTTAAATTTCAAAATTTTCTTTAATATTATAGTAATATTTTCTTTAAGTGCTGCAACAATTACAAACAGCACAAAAAAAAGGGAGGCGAACGAAGGTTTCTTGTGGTCCGCTTCTAACCGGCAGTGGTTGTTGTTTCTCGGGACAGTGTCTGTGCCTGGTCCAAGGCATTTGATCTCCGTTCCGATCTTGAACGTGCTCATCTTCCAGCTGCAGGCCTCGCCCCGCTTTGCCCCAGCTCGACTCGCGCTGTTGTAAATTGTTTTGTAAATTTGATATACTTGCAGTTTTGCAGCGATGCTCCTCCTAAAGCTCCTCCAGTTCCTCCAGCTACTTCATTATTATCATTGTTGTGGCTCCATCTCCAGCTATGGCTGCTGCTGCTGCTGTACTTGTTCATTAGTGCAGGGCCTCTCGAGAGCCAGTAGCCCCCGCCGATGTTGTTCATAAACTTCTAAAATCAACTGCGCTCTGCCCTCTGTTTTCTCCGCTCTGTATCTGTATCTGTATCTTGGCTATTGTATCTACAAGCTACATTTCTGGCGGCGGCTGCTGCCTGCTTATTGCTGATTATTTTTATTGCCTCTCTGTGTGATTCATTATTTGCGGAGATAAGGTAGTAGCAGCTTGTCCCCTAGTTTCATTGCTCTCCTTCTCCTGGTACCTTTATTGTGTCTTCTTTGTTCTTAGCTCAATGCTATTGAATTTTTAGACACTTACATCATTCTATAATCGCAATGAACTTGCATTGATTTATTTTTAGTTTCAGTAATTTTAATTTCGCGTTAGGCCTTCTTGCCGCTGCATGTTTCACTGGTGAATCATCATTTTGGGCAGATGTTTGTCTGAAGGCCCAGCCCCAAAAAAAAATTCTGTCCCTTATGTTCTGCGGCCACATTCCAATCACGAAACTGTACACTAAAGATGCGTTTATTTTAATGATCACTCTGAATACTTATTAAAATGAAATTGGGGTAATTTGTTAGCCTATAAATAATATGTTATTAGTATAAAAGGATTAATTGGGGAATATTTGCATATTTTAAACATCATATACTGCAGGTTCTTCTTTCTTGTAGATTCTTTTAGATTCCTTCCCTGGAAATCTCTCTTTTTTTTCTGGTATGCCCACAATGATCTTGTTTATTACGCTTAGTTTAATTTAAAATGCCTCCTTATTCGCGCTTAGCTGACGTCTTCGCAGCCTGGCTGCTCTTCGCTTTGCTTCTCTCTCTGAAAAAAAAGCCGGGTCTTCGGAAGATTCCGAATCAAAGCCCCCAGCTTCGACGTCTCGGGGAAATTTACGATCCAGTACGAATCGCGACTTCAACGCGAACAGTTCGCATTCGCTGCGGACTTGGATTTCCAATTACCTCCATAGATCGGGCTTTCGTTTCGTTATTGTTATTAGTATGCATTATTACTACTCGCTGCCGGTTTCAATTGACATTAAAATTGATAAGCGGCAAACTAAAAATAAAATAAGACTAGGCCCCCGTTGCGGGTTGCATAAAAAGTAATGCGAAGCGGTTTCCTGAGTTGCATAAACTGTCGACCGACGACTGTCGAATGCAGCAGGAAGCGAATGGAGTGTTTTTATTTATTTATTTTTTGTATATATCTGGCATTCGTTGGAGAAAAACTGAAACTAAAAATCCGTGCAATATGAAATTATGAGAAATAAAATATAAATAAACAAGTGTTTCAAGGCTGGCCATAGACCCACACACCCACCAGAGAAATGAGACTTTCTCAAAAGTGCGACGACTGTCAAAATAAAATCTTTGAAATAAAATGAAATCTCAGAACTGACCGCAATCTCTTTGGCCATTACAAATCGTTAAGAAAAAGAAACAGAACCAGAACCCACGCAAATGGTTCAGAAATAAGCATTTCACTTTACTCACTACAAAATCTGTTTTCAAAAGGCGCATATGTGTTTCCACATATATGTATATTCAGATCTATATAGAGCTGTCAATGTTTGTATTAGATGGGCACAAACTAACAGAAAGATGACACAGTTTTGCCAAGGAGAGCAATATCAACAATTAGCAATAAATTCCCATAAATCACAAAGGGGCACCCAGATGTTATTGTTCGAGCCGTTCTAAATTTGGTTCACTTACACTTCAGTACCTATACGTGAGCTGTTTGCATATGTCGCGTCTCAGATAAACCTGAACAAAATAAATAATAATAATAGCAAACAAGCCAGGGAAATGTGGAAACCCCGGCAAATATTTGCAGCTTTAAAATGGGTTAATAAAATCTTAGGGGAGACTTTATTTTGCAAGAGATAACCAAATGGAATTTTGCTGAAATAAATCTTGATTAGCATCATTAAAGTATTAAATAAAAACAAAGGAATTTTAAGTCGAATTCTTTTTATTAACAAATTGGAAAATAAAGGAGCTGTATCTAAAGACATTATAAAAAAAAAATTAAACAAATTGTTGCAACAACATATTTATAATCATTATTGTTTTTGATAAATTAAAAAAAAAATAAATAAAAATACTGTAAGATTAAAACACCCCAACCACTCCTAGGGTTAAGGGCTTACTCCTCTTTTCCAATTCGCAACTCTCAACGAACTCCTTTGAAATGAAAGTTGCCCATCTTGCTGGCTCCCTCGCTCCCGCACGTTATTATCAGAATAACAAACTACTTGACCCAAGGAGACCCAACCAAGAACAACAAAAGCAACAACAATATAACAGCATCATCAGATTGCAAAACAGAATTCTGCGCAAGTGCAGCAGACGAGCTAAAGGAGAGGCCAAGAAACTGAACGAAGCAACAGCATCAAAGGTCCACAGAAAGAGAGATAGAGAGAAAGAGAGAGGTCCCCAAAGATGGGGCTATCAGAGAGAGTGTCCACTTAGAATATTTTAAGGTTCTTGAATTCAAGAAAGGAAATCTTTTATTCCAAGATTTAAAAAAATAAATAAAATAAAATGAAGCTTTCCTTAAATATTTAAATATTACCAAATTTCCAATTATGTTGGCTATTTTAAGCGAGCCTAATTTTTCTGAGTGCCAAAAGAGCGACGCGCGCAGCTTTCGTTAAGTTTTGGGGTGAGCGCCAGCGTTAAGTTTAGCGTCGGCGTCGTCGGCATTTAAGTTTAAAGCGGGGAGCCAAAGAGAACGAAACGACCGCGAGGCGCAACGGAATACAAAAGGCGTCAAAGAACCAACAAAAACAATAACAGAAACCGAAAACCGAAAAACAAAAAAACCGAAATAAAAAAAATTAATAGCAAACTAAATAAATAAGCAAAGCTCGGGATATCGTATAACGGCAACGGGGCCAAGATAAAAATACGCACTACAGAAAATATAAATATTAATGCAAAGTGCAACGCACGGTGCAATGCGCGGTGGACACCACTGGACGAAAGGTGTGTGTGTGGGTGTGTGTTTTGGATAGAAGAACTTGAGGATTGTGGATTTTGGATAATTCCAGCTTCCTGGAATTCATAAAAATATGAAACTTTAGATAGAAATTTGCAATGTTTTCTTTTTTCCAAATAAATTATAAATTCACTTAAATAAAAAATGATAAAAAATGTAAAAAGTATAAACAAACAAATTAAAAAGAAGGAAAACATAAAGTAAAGGAAATTTAACGAGCAGATATATTGTTAAAGTTTAAAAGGAAAACATTGCAAAATAAAGCCAAGTTTCATAATAAAAATATAAAATAAAAACCTTTTTAAACAAAGCCTACAAATGTTTAAATTTAAATATTAATGCAATTCCGGGAAACACTGTAAATTAATAAAAATTAAGCAAATATTCTACAATGTTTTCCGCTCTGCAACCAAGTGAATGCCAGCTTTATAAACATAACAATAAATAAATAAAATAAAAAAAAACTTCATTAATAACAAAAGAACTTTAGCAGTTCCGGGAAACATACACAGCAAAATAAATAAAGAACTTAAGTAAATAATTATTTTGCCGTGATGTCTCCCTCTTCTGCGACGAATGCCAGTTGTAAAAATAAATATAAAAAATTCCATTATTTAACCAATCCCCGTGAACAGAGTGATGTGATGTCATAGCAGAACTGTTGCGCTTATCAACAAACAGAATACAGAAAAGAAAAAAAAGAAAAAATAGTGCAAAAACGATATCAGCGAGGTAAAAGTTAATAAATCGAATTGCAATTGCGATAGCAAAATAGCAAAAAGCTGAGTGGTGACAGCCGGAGCACGTCGTACCATGACGGACTACACGGAATACCTGGAAGCGGCGTGGGAGTGGGCCGAGTGGCTGCCTTACCTGCTGGTGACCTACGTGCTGGTCACCCTCGTTCCCAAGTCTCTGGTGCGGATGAAGCGCTTCGCCGACGCGGACTATGAGGCGAACAGGAACAAGTTCCATCGCTGCTATGGCCCGGAGTTGTGTTGCCACGTTTTGGCCCAGGAGCAGGCCTCCGGGAAGGTCAAACCTAAGGCCAGGAAGCCAGTGACCCGCGTCTACCCCAAACGCCAGCAGGTCCCACCCAAGGAGGAGCTGCCACCGCCTTCGCCGGCGCCTGTAAAGCGCAGCAATGTGACCAAGATCGCCAGAATGTTCGAGACGGGCGCCACGCGACAGGTGAACCGTGTGGCACCCGTCACGCTACCGGAGATCCGTATGTTTGGGGCCAGCGATGAGTCCAGGGACTCCACACCCTGCGCCTCGCGAAAGACTTCGATTGCCAGCCAGCTTTCCGCTCAGTTGCAGCACATTGAGCACGCTATGCACCTATGGCAAGAACTGGAGGAGGAGCCAACGAAGAAGGCTCCAACTCACAACGACTGGGAGCCCATGGCAGTGCCTGCTCCGAGGAGGACTCGGGGCACTTCAGCCACACCCTCAACAGCTTCACCCCTCTCCAGTTCCCCCGAACTCGAGGCATCGCCAGTACTCCGAAGGAAGCCGCCCTCGCTCTGCCTGCAGACCAGCATGGAGGACATCTTTCAAGTGATTGCCAGGAGTGCCGAGGAACCAGAGGACCGTCCGGATTGCCATTGCCTCTCGCCGGTGACCTGCATCGATGATATACTCTCCGAGCGAAGGTTCTCGCGTCCCCTTTCCGCCTACTCCATCACCGATCTCCTCAACGAAGAGCAGGCCGCCTGTGTGGAGGAGGCCACTTACATAAATGAAACCAGATGAGGGATTCTCAGGAGAAGGTTATATCAAAGTGCCATTCCCCTTTTGGTCTGGTGTGGAGTTGCAAAAATATCGAGGGATTTTAAATTTCAAAAATCGAAATACCTTTGAAAAAAAAGGAAAGAAAGATCTTTTTTTTTCGTCAAGCTTTTTCAATCGATTTTAGTAAATACGATAACAGATAGTACCGATTACACATCGATCTTTATGCAGCTCTAGCCTGAATGAAATCAGAGTCATGTCACCCGGAAGACTTCTCCTAATCACCGCCTTTGTGTTAAGATGAACAAAGCTGGTCCGGTGACTCACTCTCATCGGGAGACCTTGCCATGCCCCCAGTTTCCCAGACCCATTTCCCATGATGCATTTTGTTTGCTTAATCGATGGAAACTTAAGCAAATCAAAATAAAAGCTTCCCAAACTTAAGTCGCAATTAGCTAACAATGCCTGTACTTAGTAAAACCCATTATTTGTATAAATATCCGTACTGTCCAGAGCCCATAATGTTTGTAATTGCAAAGCATCTCATAAGCGAGTAGAGAACTGTACTGCTAAACTAATTACAATTAAACACTATGAATTTGTATTGTAGTATTATCGTTAAATATTATATGTTATGAATATTAAAACTGTATCAAATGCAAGCCCAATATTAAACCTAATTAAATGTACGTAATAAAAACACATTTATTTTCGTGTGCACAGCTGCTAGAAGCACTCGAAAAAGTGTATATTCTTCATTCGTTATTTATTATTTTGCATCTGCTTGGCACCTATTTTTGTGTAGATTTTAGCCACGCAAGAGGAGATCCAACCATCGGAGCGTGTCTTGTGGCCTAAACACAATTTGTCAAATAAATTGACGCAAATCAAAATGTTGGACCGATCACCATTAATTATAAATCGGGGAGATGGGAAAAGTATTCGCCGCAAAACGATTGTGATGTGAGGTAATTTCGTAGCTGTGCTGTGGCTTTTTTGATTGATTTGATGGCGAACAAAGGCAGTGAAGCATATATTTATAATAAAGGCGAGCTTAAAAAGATACAATCATCAGACACATACCCTACAGAGAAAGGCTTGAGGCATTTTAGCTATCAGTACATTGAACCTTGGACAATGCCGGTTGCAACTGGTTGCAATCACCAGTAGCCACCGCATTGCCATAATAATAACAATAACAGACCTTATCAAGTATCCCTCGAGTTGAATGGGCCACTCACTCTCTCAACGAACTATGGATTAATGCAGGCCGAGGAGATATATATGCTCCATTGGATATACAAGTTCCGGGGAAATTTTCCACTGCAATTAAGCTACAGAATTGGCCAGATGCCCAGGCATTCCCCACGCACTTGAACTTGGCAACCTTAACTTGGCCTAATAGCCTTCTTTTTGGCCTGGGCTAGTTTCTGCCTTTTTGCTGTTTGCCAAATTCTGCCAAATAGAGAAAAATGATTGTGTATTCATATGCTAATTTTAACATTTTCACCATAGTTTTAAATATACATATACAACAGTTTTTCAGCGCATGCAAAATCGAAATTTCAATAAAACGACGCAAATAAGCAAATAACCAGAGGCGAGCACAGCCAATAAAATATTATAAATTGCCATTTATTAGCGGAGATTCTATGGCATCATACCTTTTGGTTTGAAGTATGTTTTGTTTGCTTTATTGGGCTTGTTCAGGTGCGGAAGAATTCTCTACCTTTGTTGAGGAATTCTACCTTTTAGAAACCCTTCAAATCAGCGGATAATCAAATTATCGTTGCTCTTTGTTTTTCCTTGTTTTCGGCTGGCTTTTACCCACTTTTATACGAGTTTTATCAATTTGTTTTTGGATGATTCATTCCGAGAGGGCTTCGGATTCGAATTCATTGATAGCCTGTGTATGACACATGCTGAAATTCATCAGAAATTAAGTGTGAAAGAGTGGAGGGTGCTCAAGGTTTGCTGCTTGATTTGTGAATGACACAGTTTGCCTTAAATTATCATAATTAATGTTAGTACTAAATTACTGATAATACAACTGAGTTAAAAGTAAGTAAGTAGTATGAATACCATAAGAAATGGGGTCAAAACTCTGGCAAACATCAACAGAAATTCCTAAACATTGCATAAGCTCTTACAATAAATATCAGAGATAAGCTAATTTTGTGAACTTCACCCTAAAAGTGTGCCTTTTACGGTGACAATAAACACGAGAAACTGTAAAGATAAGATTGTTTGTTTAAAAAACGTTTTATCGATATTCCCAGTCGCGCCATAACTTATGCTCAAAGCATGTGTAAACACAGGAATTAAGTTTTTGCCTTGCACTGACACTTCGGCAAATGTAAACAAAAAACCCGAGTGCAGGGGAGGCATCGATCAGAATATAGTATGCCACTCCCCATTGTGGTAGCTACTTATTTGTTTCTTATCTTTTCTCTAAACTGAGAGTGCGGAAAGCACTGCAAGAAAAATGGATAATTAAATGTGGAATTTTGATTTATTAAAACAAAAAGATAACAAATATTTTGAAGACTTTAAAGCTTTTTTATAAGCCAACTATTTTATTTTTTTCTCATTTTAAGTAATCAAAAATTAAGATAAAGTAAATGCATTTATTATCCCTTTTGAATTATAAAAAATATAAGTTATATAAACTTATTATTTTCCCAAATGCTCTATTTATTTAACAATTTTTATTAATGGTTTATCAGTTTTGGGAAGACCCACAGAGCGAGCTCTATAACTTTATTATTCTGTTTACCTATCGGTCTTTTTTTATGACCTTTTTTCGAAGTGCACCTCCCCATTATCTAATCGTATGACTCGCACTGTCTCCCGAGATAGAGCTCTCCGGCTCTCGAAGTCTAGCAAAAAAGGTGCGCAATTAGCCAAGCGTCGATTGGCAGTCGCCAGATTGGCATTGTGCTGGCAACAGGCCCCTCAACCAAGTTCGCTTCCAGATACATTTACGCGGCGCATCCATCGCGGGTCACTCATGGAGCGTACTTGGCACCGAGGCCTTCAGATTCGCATTCAGATTTAGCGTTTGTCGTCGAGGTGTGCCAGGGAAAATAATAGCTAATAGCGAGAGCAAACAAAGCTAATAAGTAGCCGCCGGCATGGAGAGAGTAAAACTGGTAAAAGCTTTTCCCTGCTCCTCCCAGACAGCTCCTGTTGACAATCTAATTTAACCCTCTAACGGTGGCAGGTGCTTAGTCATCGGGTTTTTGGGAACAACCCAGCCGATATCGCCACGACTGTTGACCATATTTGCGGCTATTAAAATTTGGTTAATTTCTTTATAAACGCGTTCATATTTGGGCCTGAAGCGTGGGAGGTTTCAATCTTCAAAAGTTTTGGAAAGTGAATGTGTAATCAAGATGGTGTTCCTCTCTATTTGGCATTTCAGGAATCGCTATCTTTGGCCCACTCGCTGTCGGACAAGCCGCTGCCACCGTCGCCCCTGATCCCCACCAGCCTTGAGGGCGGCAAGGTCTCCGATCGCTTGAGCAAGCTCAAGTGCAACTCGGAGAACTGGAAGCAGCGGATAGGTGAGTTGTAGATTTCTCTTTATTAAAGGTAATAAATAAATTATAATAAATAATAATTCTCCTACAATCCTCAGAGCAAACCGATGCTAAGAAGTTCACAGTCGCTGGCCGACTGCAAAAGAAGGCCCAATCTCCTGTGGAGCTGCAGTTCGAGCGTTCGCCCAATGATGCTGCTAAGAAATGCCCCATGCTGGAGGTGCGCAGCGCCAACCAGCCGCAGTTGGGTCTGGCCAAGAGCCCCTCCATGATGGTTACTTCCACTGCTAACAGCAATAGCAAGAACACACTTCGCAGCCTGAGCGTTAATCCCGAGGAGGAGGTTCCTAGTCTGAGTCGCTCCAACAGCAGCAGCTCGGATTCGGATGGGGAACGCACCTCACCGCAGAATGCCAAGCAAAATAAGGAGCTGGCCAATACCAAGAGTGCGGCTGCACCCACAAATGTGGGCGCCAGGATTCAGGTGCCTCGTCTGGACGACAAGGAGACCTTTGAGAACTTCTTTGCCACGAAACCTAAGGTGGAGGAGAGTGTGGAACTGGAGATTAGCGCATTTGATGATATCAAGCCCACAGAGCGGTGAGTAGGAAGTAGACTTTAAGGCAATAACAATCAGTTTTGTTTAAAAATGTCCAATCAACATTCAAAATTCTAAATTCTCCTTAATGTTTATCTTAGCTTGGTAAGCAAACGCCACGTTCAGGGACCTAAGGGACGCCGGGCAGCCCGCAATCCTCTCAAGAGTCTGGCAGCACGTGAGGATATCACCTCGGAGTACACGGAAATGAAGACAGGAGTGGCCGAGCGTGAGCTCAGGCGACTTAAGATGGAGTCATGTGAGCTAGGATTACTATCTAAGCTAAGTTTCCCAACTAAACCTATTTCCTTCCCCCTTAGATGGCCAGAACACCAACCTGGCTGCCGAGGCCATTGCTGGCCTAGCCTCCATAGAGGACTTCAAGTCAGTGGCCCTGCGTTCTTCGTCGATTCCCCTGCAGCAAATGTGGCTGCCCCACAAGCCTGTAATGCTGCTCCATGTCAAGGGACGCACCCATGTCCAAACCCGACTGGTGGAGCCTACTCACACCTCACTGAATCGCGGTGATTGCTTCATTTTGGTTGCCGGATCCCAGTTGTTCCGCTATGTGGGCTCCTTTGCCAATGTCATTGAGATCTCGCGCAGCAAGAAAATCTGCGCTGCCATTTTGGAGAACAAGGATCTGGGGTGCACTGCCAGCCAGGAGGTAATCCTCACCGATGGCAAGTACTTGAACGAGCGCCAGTGGAGTCAGTTTTGGAAGTTGCTAGGCAAAAAGGAGGACGACACCTCGGAGATCTCCGACTGCGGTCATGCGGATGAGGATGATGTGTTTGAGAGCAGTCTGATCGAGACCAACAAGATCTACGAGTTCCAGGACGAAGCCCTTGTGCCCCTGGACAAGTACTGGGGCTGCATACCCAAGGTGGACATGCTGGACACGCGCAAGGTGCTGGTCTTTGACTTTGGCAGTGAGCTGTACGTATGGAATGGCAAGAACGCCTCCTCGGACGCCAAGCGGGCGGCCATGAGGCTGGCGCAGGAACACTTTGGTGCCGAGAATGGAGCAGACTATGCCGAGTGCTACTTGAACCCGCTGAACTATGTCTCCATTGTGGGTCGTCGTGAAAACACCAAGTATGCCAAGCGAACCGCTCAGCGACCGGAGTGGTGTGTCCTGGGGAAGATCACCCAGAACATGGAGACGGTGCTGTTCAAGGAGAAGTTCAGCGACTGGCCGGAACTGGAGCGCGAGGATCTGGAGAAGGATTACCTTGCCAACGGCGTCCATGTGGTGCGAGCCTTGAATGGAACCGCTCTGCACAAAGGGGAGCCCTATGAGGAGCCAAATCTGGTGCTGGAGCAGGCGAATCTGGGACGTGGTAACTTCTACTACGACACCGATACAATGCGCCACTTCGATGTGATCACCAAGTCCACGGACAAGTGGCAGATCCACGAGTTTAACTTTGATGCCGCCCCTGCCCGCGAGGACTACGGGCACTTTTACTCCGCGGAGAGCTATATAGTTCGCTGGATTTACCAGATCTCGGTCACAGTGCGCGAGCTGAGCGGCAAGGTCTCGAACAGGAGCACCGTTGGACGGGACAGGTGCGTGTACTTCACCTGGCAGGGTCAGGACTCGAGTGCCAATGAGAAGGGTGCTGCGGCTTTGCTCACCGTTGAGCTGGACAAGGAGAAGGGCGCCCAATTGAGGGTGTCACAGGGCGACGAATGCACAGCCTTTGTTCGCTTATTCCCCCAGCTGTGGCAGCATCGTGGACGCAAGGAGCAGTGCCTAGAGAGGCGCAACCAGTGGCGGCTCTACCAAATCCAGGGCAACGTCACCGAGGAGACGCTCATCAAGGAAGTGGACTGCCAGTCGCGTCAATTGCGCTCTCGCAGCTCCATGCTCCTGATCCATGGCAGCCAGGGCAGCGTGTTGGTTTGGCATGGAGCCAAGAGTGCTCCTCACACCCGTTCTGTGGCTTTGAAAGCTGCCCAAGATCTGGTCGAGCAGGTGCCAAAAGATCTCTTCAGCAGCGACAAGGTTAAACTCGCAGAGCAGGAGGAGGGTTCCGAGAATGAGGACTGCAAGAGGGCTCTGGGATTGACGGCAGACGTTGATTACGGCAGCCTGCTGAAGTCCACCAAATCGTTTGATTACCAAATAAGGATCTTCAACTTCTCCAGCACCCAGGGAGTGTTCAAGGCGCTTGAACTGAGCGATCCCTTGCGCTGCCAGGATCTGAACAGTCCATATCCCTTCAGCCAGGGTCAGCTGTACAATGCCCGTCAGCCCACGATCTTTTTGCTTGACGATGGCGACGAGCTGTGGCTCTGGATGGGCTGGTGGCCCCTGGAGGACATAAAGAGTAAGTGTGGTTTTTAATTGTTTTTGTACCCTTGCAGGGTATTGTAATTGTAGTCAAAAGCTTGTTAGGCAGTGAAGAAGGCATTTGCGACCCTATAAACCATATATATTCTTGATCAGCATAAGCAGGCGCTTCTTTCTAGCCATGTCGCGAAGAAAAAAAAATTTCACAATTTTTTCAAAAATTGATAAGGGGTTACATCATCATTTTTTTGAAAAATGGCCAAAATTTTGATTTTTATTTTAGAATGCAGGTTTGTTAATCTGTAAAAAACTAGCATATATCAGCTTTCCGAATTGAATTTGGTGCATTTTTGGCTTAGTTATTACATTTTGAAGCCTCAATTTTCCCGAAAAATACCATATAAAATTATGAATCTTTGGCTTGTCGAAGTCAGCTTCCTTTCTATTTTTAATTTAATATAAATAATAATATTTATTCTGTGATTTTAGTAAACACCGATGAGCGAAGCAGTCCCACCAACGACAATCGGGCTGGAGTTAATCGCTGGATCTCAGAGAGACGTGCTGCCCTCGAGACAGCCGTCGGCTATTGGCGTGCCAAGCACGGCGAGAACGAAAAGGAGGCCTTCCACGGCATCAAGGGTCAGGTGGTGTGGGCAGGCCTGGAGCCACTGGCCTTCAGGGCGCTCTTTCCCGACTGGACGGAGCGGGCCGATGTGCGGGAGATCAACGAAGAGGTGAGTTGGAACCAGAAACTAAAAAGGAAACTTAATATATATCTATTGTTTTTCCTGCAGGATGGCCGCACCGATGCTCCCACAACCATTGCAGAAATGCTGGCACAAATGACACAGACCGAGTACCCGCTGGAGGTGCTCAAGGCACGACCCCTGCCCGAGGGCGTGGAGCCCACGCGTTTGGAGGTGTACCTTAACGCCGAGGACTTTCAGGTGGCGCTGGGCTGCAGTCGGGCGGAGTTCGAGCAGCTACCCATCTGGAAGCAAACCAAGCTGAAGAAGGAGCGTGGGCTGTTCTAGGAGAGAGGCACAATGCAACCGAATAGACTTGAACACAATCACAAAAACAATACAATTTTCTAAGCACTTTTTGTAGGCGGCGAAGCTTTTGCAACGGGCACAGACGAATCGTAAATCTATATCGTATTCTACATGCTAGGCCTACATAGTATAGCATATACACATACACACGTGCGCATATCCCCATGTACTCTCTCTATTGTACGCATATTACATAACCCTTATACATATGTATGCCTTTTGCAATAAATTTCAAACTCGCTTCATTCGACAAACGGCCCGAGTCCTTTGATTTTACCTGTACATAATTTTAAGTTGAGTTGTTTTACCATTTACTATTATTTTACTTCATATTTTAAACGATTTAACGAAATTGCATTTGTTTAATCTCTGCAAAAACCAAAAAAAAAAAAGAAAAGAAAAGGAAAAACGCAACGAGCTCTCGTTTATTTCATTGTTTTCAGTTCGATATCATTTAATGTTAGCTTTATTTGCCTAATTTAATATCGATGCCTATGTATTCGTGTTTTTATCATGTTAAAAACTATTACGTATATTTAATTTTTATTAAATAACATTTTATTGTATTATTTCTGGTTGTTTTTATTATGTTTGGTTTGAGAAGGGGTGTAATCGTGGTTTTAACAAGGCTACGAGCTCGAAATCGATTTTGTTCCTGCTTACAACAACAAACAACAATATTTGTACAACAAAATCAATTTAAGACGGTGACTTTTCAAAATTATAATTATAATTGAATTGTAGTTTTTTTTTAAATAAGAACACAAAAAACGTTAAATTAACCGACAAATTTGAATTCGAATTGAAATTAAAGATAAATGGGTCAGCCCAAAAGTATTCTTTGCTAAAATTCTGCGGGCGTAAAGTTTTTATAACAGTTTATAACAGTTATCCGTCGCCTGCTGCTACCTTCTGTTCGCCTGTTACCCCAACATCGGGAAACTGGCAATTTGCTTGCAAATTGTCGGAAAATCAAATGGGGAGAATTATTTTTGTTGTAGAAATGTTCTTGTTGTTGAAATAAGGTGGTTGTTGTAGGGAAAAATGTGTATAAATTTTGATATTTACATTTAAAAAATATAACAGTTTATACAAGTTTTGGCACGCTGTCCTTGTTTCTGTTGGCCTGTTTTTCGAAATCGGGAAAAGGACAAGTTCGGCGATTTCGCCGGATATATATCAGATATGCTTATCTAGCTATATTGAACTATTGGGAAAAAATGGCATCTTACTTGTTCCTAGTGATGCTCATTTAGCTAGTTTGCATTATTGGGCAAAAATGGCATCTCACTGGCCACTAGTGATGCTCATTTAGCTAGTTTGCATTATTGGGATAAAATGGCATCTCACTTGCCAGTAGTGATGCTCGTTTAGCCCTTGGAGGACATAAAGAGTAAGTGTGGTTTTTAATTGTTTTTGTACCCTTGCAGGGTATTGTAATTGTAGTCAAAAGCTTGTTAGGCAGTGAAGAAGGCATTTCCGACCCTATAAATCATATATATTCTTGATCAGCATTAACAGGCGCTTCTTTCTAGCCATGTCCGGAAAGAAAAAATTTTTTGTTCATTTTTTCAAAAATTGATAAGGGGTTACATCATTAAAATTCTCAAAAATCGACCAAAAATTCGATTTTTTTTATTTAAAATTTAATATGCAAATTTCTTAAGCTAGAAAAAACTAGCATAGAAATGCTTACAGAATTGATTTTGATGCTTTTTTGGCTTAGTTATGATATTTTTAAACTTTGATTTTTCCAAAAATTATCATAAAAAATATGGAAAATATCCTTCTAAAAATATTTAATATTTCCGGTCTTCTTGAAAGGAAAATATGATTTTATTAAGTGAAGCAATCATTGCGACCCTATAAACCATATATATTCTTGATCAGCATAAGCAGGCGATTCTTTCTAGCCAAATTAAAAATTTTTTTTTTCTAAATATTTAAAACTTTTCTGAATTATTAAAATTTTGTCTGAATTTTTAAATTTTTTTTCAGCTTTTATATATTTTTTAGAATTTTTTTTAGAATTTGTTAAATTTTTTTAAATGTTGTAACTGCCAAATTTGAATTTGAATTTAACTGTCAAATTTGAAATTAACGACGATCAGTTTCAGTGTGCCCAGGTGCAGTTGTAAAATAACACCTAAATATAGATTCAAAAGGTTTGAGTCTCCGCTAACTTGCGCCGGCTCCTAAATGGTTTGAAACTTGGACTTTTTATAACAGTTTATACCAGTTTTCAGTCGCTTGCTGCTGATTTCTGTTCGCCTGGTACCCCAATTTGGGAAACGGGCAATTTGCATGGAAATGTTCGGAAATTTGGATGGGCTGCTGTAGGGATGTTGTTGTAAAAAGGTTGTTGTTGCCATAAGCTGTTGTTGTCGGCAACAAATAGGTATAAATGCATCAAATGAAATATAACAGTTTATACCAATTATTATTTTTGCCCAAAAGTTTTTATAACAGTTTATACCAGTTTTCAGTTGCTTGCTGCTGGTTTCTGTTCGCCTGTTACCCCAGTTTGGGAAATAGCCAAATTGGATGGAAATTTTTGCTCACTTGCATGAGTGATGCTCATCTGCATCAGTGATGCTCATCTGGCTATATTTCAATATTGGGGGGCAATAAAGTCGGGCTTAATGGCAGCGATGCTCATGTGCATTATTGGGAGAAAATGGCATCTCACTAGCTGCCAGCGATGCTCATCTAGCTATTTTGCATTATTGGGACAAAATGGCATCTCTCTAACTGTCAGTGATGCTCATCTAGCTATTTCGCATTATTGGGAGAAAATGGCATCTCACTAGCTGCCAGTGATGCTCATCTAGCTATTTTGCATAATTGGGACAAAATGACATCTCACTAACTGTCAGTGATGCTCATCTAGCTATTTTGCATTAATGGGACAAAATGGCATCTCACTAGCTGCCAGTGATGCTCATCTAGCTATTTTGCATTATTGGGACAAAATGACATCTCACTAACTGTCAGTGATGCTCATCTAGCTATTTCGCATTATTGGAAGAAAATGGCGTCTCACTAGCTGCCAGTGATGCTCATCTAGCTGCCAGTGATGCTCATCTAGCTGCCAGTGATGCTCATCTAGCTGCCAGTGATGCTCATCAAGCTATTTTGCATTATTGGGACAAAATGACATCTCACTAACTGTCAGTGATGCTCATCTAGCTATTTCGCATTATTGGAAGAAAATGGCATCTCACTAGCTGCCAGTGATGCTCATCTAGCTATTTTGCATTATTGGGACAAAATGGCATCTCACTAGCTGCCAGTGATGCTCATCTAGCTATTTTGCATTATTGGGACAAAATGACATCTCACTAACTGTCAGTGATGCTCATCTAGCTATTTCGCATTATTGGGACAAAAGGGCATCGCACTAGCTGCCAGTGATGCTCATCTAGCTATTTTGCATTATTGGGACAAAATGGCATCTCTCTAACTGTCAGTGATGCTCATCTAGCTATTTCGCATTATTGGGAGAAAATGGCATCTCACTAACTGTCAGTGATGCTCATCTAGCTATTTCGCATTATTGGGACAAAAGGGCATCGCACTAGCTGCCAGTGATGCTCATCTAGCTATTTTGCATTATTGGGACAAAATGGCATCTCTCTAACTGTCAGTGATGCTCATCTAGCTATTTTGCATTATTGGGAGAAAATGGCATCTCACTAGCTGCCAGTGATGCTCATCTAGCTATTTTGCATTAATGGGACAAAATGGCATCTCACCAACTGTCAGTGAAGGCCAGTGGCTCCAGGCCTGCCCACACCACCTGACCCTTGATGTTTTCGTTCTCGCAGTGCTTGGCACGCCAATAGCCGACGGCTGTCTCGAGGGCAGCACGTCTCTCTGAGATCCAGCGATTAACTCCAGCCCGATTGTCGTTGGTGGGACTGCTTCGCTCATCGGTGTTTACTAAAATCACAGAATAAATATTATTATTTATATTAAATTAAAAATAGAAAGGAAGCTGACTTCGACAAGCCAAAGATTCATAATTTTATATGGTATTTTTCGGGAAAATTGAGGCTTCAAAATGTAATAACTAAGCCAAAAATGCACCAAATTCAATTCGGAAAGCTGATATATGCTAGTTTTTTACAGATTAACAAACCTGCATTCTAAAATAAAAATCAAAATTTTGGCCATTTTTCAAAAAAATGATGATTAATTAATGATGATTATCAATTTTTGAAAATATTGTGAAATTTTTTTTTTATTCGCGACATGACTAGAAAGAAGCGCCTGTTAATGCTGATCAAGAATATATATGATTTATAGGGTCGGAAATGCCTTCTTCACTGCCTAACAAGCTTTTGACTACAATTACAATACCCTGCAAGGGTACAAAAACAATTAAAAACCACACTTACTCTTTACATCCTCCAGGGGCCACCAGCCCATCCAGAGCCACAGCTCGTCGCCATCGTCCAGCAAAAAGATCGTGGGCTGACGGGCATTGTACAGCTGACCCTGGCTGAAGGGATATGGACTGTGCAGATCCTGGCAGCGCAAGGGATCGCTCAGTTCAAGCGCCTTGAACACTCCCTGGGTGCTGGAGAAGTTGAAGATCCTTATTTGGTAATCAAACGATTTGGTGGACTTCAGCAGGCTGCCGTAATCAACGTCTGCCGTCAATCCCAGAGCCCTCTTGCAGTCCTCATTCTCGGAACCCTCCTCCTGCTCTGCGAGTTTAACTTTGTCGCTGCTGAAGAGATCTTTTGGCACCTGCTCGACCAGATCTTGGGCAGCTTTCAAAGCCACAGAACGGGTGTGAGGAGCATTATTGGGAAAAATGGCATATCACTTGCCATTTAGTTATTTTGCACTGTTGGTAGAAAATCGCATCTCAGGCGATTATTTGACCCCTCTTACGAGTTTTCCAAATTAAAAACAACATTTTAAATAGAGTTATTTTTCTATTTTATTTCACATTATTTAGTTAAACTATTTCCTAGGCTTATACTGTAGATTTTGGGACATTCCGTGTCATATGAGTCTTAGAGGCGAGTCTACTTCTGCATTAAATTTTAATTAAAGTTTAGAATCCAACGCTATTCCCTCCTTCACTGCCTATGCGGATCCCATGGCGAGTTCCCGGATGAGTCGAGAAACCAGTTCGCAGCAGTCCTTCTGCCTCATCTTGGCCACGGCCATAACCTGAAGTTAAGCGTATATATTTTAGTTAAAAATCTATTTTTTAAAACAAAAATTCTATTTAAAATCTTACCTCATCGTGGCTGGGCTCTTCGTCCTTTTTGTCGTTGTACTCTGTGGCGCACTTATTCGTGATCAGGCTGAAGGCGAACACCTTCATGTCGCAGTGCCGGGCAGTGATCACCTCGTGGACGGTGGACATGCCTACCGCATCCACGCCCATCATGCGCAGCGCCTTCAGCTCGGCGATGGTCTCGTAGTTGGGTCCGCCCAGGCAGGAGTAGACGCCGACATGGATGTTCGACTCGATACCCATGGCCTTGCCGATCTCGATGGCCTTGTTAATCAAATCCTTGTTGTACGAGTTCGTCAGAGCGGGGAA